AACAGCAACAGCAACAGCAAAGGACCCATACCCAGATTAGGCTGAAATGAGGAGCTCGTTCTTTCTTGTTTACTTAGGGATGCAGTATAAGGATAATTTAATGTAGTCTACTTGCTTCCAGCCCAAGGTGGATGGAGAGCAGAGCAGAGGGTGAGCCCTGGTGCCAGCAAAACGGCAAGGAAAGGAGGAAGTACATGCATCACCACCAATACCACCCCAAATGTTTGCAAGGTGCAGCAATAAATCAATGAATCCGTGCAAATTGTACCCAGCTGCACACAGTCCTTTCCTCTTTCCAAGCCCCCCCAAGCCAGAGAATCTGCACCCAGGTCTCACTGTGTAGTGGTTTGAGTACTGAACTATGGTTACATTCCCAGCTCAGCCATTCAGCCCACATGGGCAAGTCATAAAATCATAGAATCATAGAGCTGGAAGAGACCACAAGGGCCATCCAGTCCAACCCCCTGCCATGCAGGAAGTCCCAATCAAAGCATCACACTCTCTCAGCCTCAGAGGAAGGCAACGGCAAACCTCCTCTGAACAAATCTTGCCAAGAGAACCCCATGATAGGTTTGCAATAACCTGAAGGCGCAGAACAACAAGAAACTCCCACCTGGAGATGACCCAGGAGAACTGGACACCAAAAGACAGGCCCTGAAATCTGGCATTGTGAGCAAGAGACCCAATTCTTACCTCCTGGAAGCTCTGAGGCCTTTGTCCAGCTCCCTGCGCAAGTCAGAAATGACTCCAGGAGGGAAACTGACCATTGCTGGGCTCGGCCCCTTCCTTCCTTCCTTCCTCCATCCCGCCCATCCCAAACCAGGAGAAGGTCAGACTGGAACTATAGCTCTCATCTCCACCATCCCACTTCCCAGATTGCCAGGCATGATGCCAATGTGGAGCTGAACATATTATGTGCAAGGTGCTGTTGTTGTTGTTGTTGTTGTTGTTCTTGTTGTTATGCCTCTTCAAATCAACTCTGACTTAAGGTGACACTCTCTTAGGGTTTTCTTGACCAGATTTCTTTAGAGAAAGTTTGCCAACTTTTTTCGCTGAGCAGATGGAGAGGAAAAAACAACTTACCTCCAGGGATTCCCAATTTGCGGGGAGAACCCGCTGACCACACCATCGGTTCCAACAAGGGGCCGGATGCCCATGGGCAGTCTGCAAGGCTCCCTTTCTTCTGCAAGAACAGACCGGCGAAAATAGGGCATTTGTGGATGCAAGCTGCCTTGCACCATCATTTTTTCCCTGTTTCACCACTAAAACATCTGCACCTGCGCACAGATGTGCCATCAGCAGCTGCCAATCACCTTCTTCCTCTTGCCCAGCTGCCAGCCATTTTGACCTCTGCAACAACTGGCCATACAACTGGCCATTCATACATTCATAGGATCATAGAGTTGGAAAAGACCCCAAGGGCCATCTAGTCCAACCCCATTCTGCCATGCAGGAATTCACTATCAAAGCACCCCCTTTGACAGATGGCCATTCAGCCTCTGTTTAAAGACCTCCAAGGAAGGAGACTCCATCATACTCCCAAGGAATGTTTTCCACTGTCTAACAGCTCTTATTGTCAGGAAGTTCTCCCTAACAATTAGTTAGAATCACTTTTCCTATAGCTTGCATCCATTGCTTTGGGTCCTGTTCTCTGGAGCAGCAGAAAACAAGCTTGCTCCATCCTCAACACATAGCATTCCTTCAAGTATTTAAACAGTGTTGGGTTAGGACTCTTGGAGACCTGGGTTCGAATTCCTGCCCAACCACAGTGTCTGATCTTGGCAAGTCTTACTCACTCATATATCACTCACTCGGGGTGTACCACACTGCAGATTTAAAGCAGTTTGACACCACTTTAACTGCCATGGCTCTACCTACAGAATCTTGAGATGTGTCGTTTTGTGAGGTGCCAGAGCTCTCTGACAGACCAGGATGAATAGCGCATCCAACTACAAATCGAACCCAGGTCTCCAAGAGTCCTAGGATGTTATCACACGGGGGCAAATCTGCTGGTTAATCCACA